AGCAATGGACAAGGGATCGCTTCTGACGGTATCCTGCAGCAGATTCTAACTCGCATCTCTCAGCTAGAGATGCAGCAAAACGAGCCGCGCCGTCCCCGAGGCAACGGTCGCTGGTGCTCTCCCCGCGCCGAAGATCGGCGTTGTTACGCGCGTGGTGCTACCGTTTACCTACGAGCCGACTTTTGACACCGCAACGCAGTCTGTCACGGCTGCAACAGACCGGGCCACCTCCAGCAGGCCTGCCGTCAAACGACGAACCCGGGAAACGCGGCAGGGGGTATCCTGACACGACGGCAGTGATTGCCGCGCCGGGTGTACCCCTCAATGCAGGTCTGTCGGTCGCTGGCGAGATAAACGGTATGTATGTCACTGCCTCGTCGACACCGGCTCCTCTACCACTCTCATATCATACACCATCTTCAGCAAATTGACCAATGCTGTCGCAAACCCTACAACATCACAGCCGAATCGGTATCGAAAATTCCAGTCAGACTTCTAGGATCCGCCTCCGTAACGCTTGCACTGTCCGAGTTATATTGTCACTTAACAGTGGTCATCAGCAACCACATCGGATCGGAGACACCGAGTGCATTTTGGGTCGGGACTTTTCCAACGGCACCGCTATTTGATTGACGTCGCGCCCCCGGTCTCGCGTTTCCGACCCAGTCGGCGCCGGCCCATCAGCTGACTCAGACCACATCAGCTGACTCCGCGAAACAACCCCGGCCGGGCCACTGCTCTCCATGGCTCAGGGACTGCGGGCCAGGAATGAGCAAACAGATCCGACCCGTCCAAACAAAGACGGCGGAGAAGGAGATGCAGCCGGCCGGGAGGGTCTGTCGGTCTGCCGCGTGGTAGTACGGCAGGACTGGTCGGTGCCGCCGGGGCCGGAATGCGTCATTGAAGGTCATGCTGATGACAAGGCTTTTGTGGGTCCAGCGTTCGTCGGAGGTGACAAAGTTACGGACGTGCTGACGATACCTGCAGAAGTGCGGGTTCAGCCTGGTCAGCCCCTTCCGGTACTGTTGAGAAATGTGTCACGATAATGTGCAACCGTGCACAGAAAACACCAAATTGGATCGCTCGAACCCGCCTTCCAATTTTGACACGGAGGAGGTGATCGGGCTGAAGTATGCGGCGCGGTCTCAGCGCAGCAATGCCCCGAAATGCCGCCGATCGAAGTTCCAATGGAGCTAGCGGAGTCAGAAAGCGCCCGGGCGGCAAAACTGTTGACAAGTTATCAGTATCTCTTTGACGGATGAATGGGGCTCACTACGCTGGTGCAGCACACCATTCCAACGGACGACCATCTGTCCATCAGGCGCCGAGAAGCATCCCGCCCCACCTCAGACACGAGACGAAAACTCAGTTCGATGACCTGGTGGAAAAAGATTCCTGGAGGAAAGTGATGGCGTCTGGTCCAGTCCAGTGGCCCTGGTTCGCAAACGCGGTGAGGCCGGACTGCGTATATGCGCCGACATGCGCGAAGTGAACAGTACCAGCCAGGTCGCGGCCTGCCCGGTCGCCAGAGTTCATGACGTTCTGAATTCTCTGACCGGCTCCACCATGTTCTGCAGTCTAGATCTGAAGTCTGGGTGCAATCAGATGGGGGTCGCACCGGAGGACAAGGACAAGGCAGCTCTCTCCTGACCTGGGACCTGTATGCCCGGCGGCGCTGCAGTTACCGTCTCGTCGGGCGCCGAGCCCGTTCGCCCGGCTACTGAACAGCGTGCTGGACGTACTAGCGCCGAATAAATGTCTGGCATAATTCGACGACATCGTTGTCCACGGTGACTTGGTCGTCAGGTCCCGCAGCGCCTCGAGAAAATGCCCACGCGCCTCAGCCGCGCAGGCCTTACTCTAAACCCGGCTAAATGCCAGCTGTTCCGACCAGTGGTGACGCACCTACGTCACCGAGTCTTAAAAAAACGCAATCGCTCCCGATCGAAAAAAAATGGATAGAGAGTAGTGGACCGGCTAGTGCCCAGATCCAAAAAGAAGCTGCTTAATTTCTGGGGATTGGCTGGTTACTTTCGCCGCGGTATGGCCGTCTCCGTCAAGGTCGCTGCACCACTGACGCAACTGACACAACATGCGCCACTTCGCTGGTCTCCCGAGGCTGAAGCAGCAGCCATTAAGCTGAACGAGCCGCTGGCTTCGGCACTAGTGGTGGCACTGCTTTGATCTGAAGAAGGCGCGGTGCCCATCATCCTAGACACAGACGCATCCGGCCGCGGATGCTCGGAAGCCCTCGCCTTCTCCAGGTGCAACACGAACGAGAAAGGATGACAGCCTAGGCACGCGCTGCCCTCAAAAAAGCCAGAAAAACTAGTCGGTGGCAAGACGAGAGCTTCTCGCGGTAGCAATGTTTGTAGCGTACTTCCGTCATTTCCCGTTGAGACGAAAGTCTGTGTTGCGAACTGACCACAACAGCGTTCAATGGCTGTTCACCTTCAGGGAAATCCTGCGGATGCTCGCCCAGTGGCTGGAACCGCTGGGCAACTTCCAGTTTACTGTGGTCCACTCCCTCGGCCTGGCTCATGGCGATGAAGGCGGCATGCCCCGTATACTACCGCCGACCCGAGAGGTCGCCTGCCAGGCGGCTCAGTTCCTCCAAGGAACGTCGTCTGCTCTTGACGACGAAGCGGCCGCGAATGCCATTGACGCCACCCCTGCCGCCGCCGTCACAGGAGACGCAAAATGCCCCGCCCCTTCTCGATGGCGGGTCCTTCGGTGGCGCGGAGACGCCGCCCCGGCCCCAGTCAGAGAGCGAGACAGTCGGGCGCCCGACGCCGCGGCAAGGACACACCGGGCCGCGTCTGGGCTAGCCGCGCAGTGCCCATCTCCATACAACACGGCAGGCACTGTCCAGGGGAAGAATCGTCAAATGTGACATCCTGGCCATCTGCTTTCCTGCAGGAGGAGCGAATGAAGGACTCGGCCATTTCTATCGCCATTCAGTGGGTCAAAGACGAGGAAAAACCCTTAGACCCTCCGGCGAATTTCCGCGAAGAAAGCCTTCTGAAGGTAACATGATTACTTCAAACCATCAAAATGCCTGCTTTGTCGCACCATGAGGACATGGGTGAGAAATACTGAGCAATTCCAAATCGTCCTGCCCAACCATCTCATGAAATGGACTCTGGAATCAATGTAGGTAAGTCCGACGGGTAGGCACTTCAACGCCCGGAAACTCACAAAAACCTTTCATAACCGGTTCTGGTCCCCGGGACTGGGCGCTGCAGCCTCAAAATTCTGTCAAACGTGCGAAAAGTGTGCCACTCGCAGCACGCCGACGCCAAAACCCCGCGCTGCCCTGGGCAACCTGGGTGCCAAAGCGCCTCCAGAAAAAGTAGCAATGGACCTCTTGACGCACCTGCCAGAGACAAAGGACGGGTGCAAACACCTGCTAGTGGTTATCGATCACTTTACCCAGTGGATGGAGGTGTATTCCTTGAAAACCCAAAAGGCCGTCGAGGCGGTCGCTGTTCTGGTTCATGAAGTTATCTCGCGGTGGGGCGCGCTACAGTCATTTCACTCCGCTCATGTAGCAAGCTTCTGCAGTACGGTGTTCAAAGAAATGTGTCGCCCGCTGGAGATCAACAAAACACAGACGTCACCGGGCGAGCCAGCCGGAAACGGGGCGTGCAATAGATTAAGTCGGATTATACTCGACATGCTCTTACGGTACCTCAGTGACGTCCGCCGCGGACGGAAAGAACATCTTCCACTGCTCTTTCTCGGCTATCGGAGTGCAGTGCATGACGGCACAGGCTGCAGCCCGTATCTCCTAATGATGGGGAGAAAGTCGCGACTGCCGACAGAGGCTAGCTTCGGGTCCCCAGCGACCGCTGAAACAGGACATGAGACGTTCTCGGCCTACGTCAATCACCTCCGCCTGGGACTGCAGAAAGCGTATAACTTCGCGCGACAACGCACAAAGGCGACCAATGCGGCAAACCGAGATCTGTACGGCCGTAAGTTCTGTTACCAGGCGGGTGATGCGGTGTACCTGTTCCGGAAGGTGCTCACCCGAGGCGAGTATCACAAGTTCGCCCGGCCCTGGAAACCAGCGGTGGTGGTTGCCCGAACGGGTGAGCTGTGGTACCACATTTAGGCTACCACATTCAGCTGTGCGGCGGCAGGCGCAGTAAACTGGTGGTCCACCACAATCGGTTGACGCCGCGTAACGGTGACACTGCAGAGCAGCGGTCGCCGTCGGCAACACCAACACACCGGACAGTGCCGGCCGCGGAGCCGCGCAGTCAGACGGTACAGTCGCAGCGCCAGGTGCCCACTCATGCGGTCACACCAACACTGGCCGTACCGATGTCCACAGACGGACAGCAGACAGCTGCACAAGTTGAACCAACAGCACCATTTTGCGGTCTGCCGGTGGCGCAGGAAACGGACGTGGCTGGGTATCCGCCTGAGGTGGCTGAGACTGCGAATTCCACACCAGCCCAAGCGCCAGCTGAACCGCCTGACGAACCGGCGACAGCGGCGATACTGACCCCGCACACTTTTTGGGGAGGGGGGCTAAGGGCTCTCCCCATTTTTAGCCCCCCCCCCCCACCAATTTGGGCTTCAGTCCCTCCAAAGTTGGAAAGCAAGTGGGCCAGATCTGGGAGGAAACTTGGGCATCTTTGGGGGGATGGATTGGGTAATTTTTACACTGTGGTATGCTCAACACATTTTATAAAACTACACCTCCGGGCAGCCTGGCCGGGTACACAATTTTATGAAGTAAGTTTGGGATGGGGTGGGGTGGGGTTGAGTTCAGTCGCAGTAAAACCAGGACATTGTCCACCTAATTAGAACAGTGACGTCATTTGTTTTTCCGGCGTTCAGCAAGAAAAAGGTCTCATGCTGTCATTGCGCACTTCTACCGTAATAATTATATAATAGCTTAGATAGTTTGCAGCACAAGGCGTAGTGTGACGGTGTAGTAGGGTGGGGGTCGTCGGGGAGACACCGTGAGTTATTGTCCGCGTGATTTTTGCCCGCCGAGTGTTGCCTCAGTTACAATCACCCTCCGAGCTCCTCTTAACTAATGTTACATTTCTTGTGGGAGGGACGCGAGCCCTATATCCTTGTACCCTCACAGGCCTTATATCGTCTTATACTGCCCAGCCCAACCCTTAATCCCTGTATCCCCCCCAGACCCTATATCGTCCCTCTAGATAAGCGGACCAGTGGAGCGTACCCTGAGACGTCCTCGGTGCAGGCCCCTGCTGCTCTTCCTTGGTCGGCTATGAAGGTACTAAAGGAAAAGCAAGCCTATGAGCCGCTGTACCAATGTCACCCTTTCTCAATCCGACCGTGCTACATAAAGTGCGTAGGATGCCACTGGGATGCAGACAAGGCCTCAAGATGCCGGCACTCATGCCCATGCTCTGGTTTGTAGAGTGTGATATGCACCTGAAACTCATTGTCCTGCTTGCCTGAGGTCAGACAATGTATGGACATTGTTTAGCTATGTCCAGCTGACTGCTTCTAAATAGCTCTGAATATTTAGGGAGGGCTGATCATGGTTCTGTAATGTTTCCAGGTTTTGCTGTTCTGAAAAATTAAGATCTTTGCTATGGCCTCTTCAGAGAACCAAGGTATGTGTTTAAGTCAAAACACAGACATGTGTATGCTGTGCATGTCATGCATGCTTTTCAGGTATTTTCAGTGAACAGCCATTTCAGTGCTGTATGGTACCTATGGGCACATTAAGGTGATTATTTGTTACTGCTTGAGATGCTGTGATGAGGATTATTACATTATATCCTACATGCATATATTTGTATGTGTGCAGGTTTATTGTTTGGTATATATATATATATATATATAGTAGTGTAGTGTAGTAGTAGTAGTATATAGTGTGTGTGTGTGTGTGTGTGTGTGTGTGTGTATAATGTCCATGTGCTTATTATATTTGTATTCATGCAAGTTTTGGATGCATGAGAAAATATTTATTTTATCAGTCTCTTGCTCTGTAGTTGATTAGTTGACCTAAATATGTTCCAAGGTAAACTGTGAGAGATAAGGAATAAAAAAGAATCAGCCTGCCCCTCAAAATATGCCTTGAAATAGGTTTTTCTGTACATTTAGACCACTTTCTTGCCAAAGTCAGGGTGAGGGGCCTGGAGTCCAAGTTGGCAGAAGGCTGGGACACTTTACTGAATAGCAAACTACATAACCATTTGCCTGTAAGAAATATTTAGTTGAAGAGCACAATATAAGGGAAATGAACAAAAATGTCATGGAATCTGGGGTTATGGGAGAGCAGGAATTTCCCAGACCTACATATCTGCCAGCAAAAGGTAAAATCCTGTGTGCTCATTTTTGGCCATGTTGTGTTTTTTGTGTGTGATATGATTCTTGTTATCAAGCTGAATTGTTATTTAAACTATTGGTTAAAATTTTCACAAACTGTTAGCCCCTAAGGTGACTGCATTTTAAATTTTTAATGTGCTGTTTAAATAGCTTAATTTAGCATGATAAGATGGGTCAAGTGGCATGACAAACACAAAATGGCCAAAAAGGAGCATGTGCAGGTTTTACCATTGGATGGTAGAGATATTCCATTAACCAGCCTTGGAGGAAAGCTTATGTATGTTGCAAGTCAATAAATCAGTGTTTGAGCCATATATAAAATTTTGTATATATGCCAAAAAAATGAGATTGTCAAATTTGTGTAGCATCACTCTTCATGTTCCATTCTGCTATGCAAGTGTTGTGGATGTTTGAGAGATCATATGGTGGCAGGTTTGCATCAAGAACTGAAATTTGGGAAGCCCTCTGGTATGGTTGGTGTACATTGTTCCCTTCCATTTGCATCTATTTTATGGAATACCAGGGTGTTGTTTCATCTTAATGGGTTACCTTGGACCCCTGATAAAACAAGTGAAAACAGCCTGACCATTTTCCCTGCTCGGCCTTTGAAAGCCTTTTGAAAGATTGTGCCCTGAATAACACCTCACTGAGCCTTGAAAATAAAAGCTGACAGGGGCCTCTGACAAATTCTAGTTATCACTGCTTATATTGACATTATTCCAGACTATAGCTGGGCTTGCTGGATCTCAGTTGAATCATGAGCTGTATCTTGGTTCTTGTTTGATCTTGACCAGTTCTAGGTTGGATCTTGGTTTTTACTAAATCCCTTGCCGTTATTTTATGCTAGGTTTTGGCTTTGCTGGATCTATTAAAATAATTTGTGGCTGGATCTTGGTTCTTGCTGGTTTTCTTGACATTGTGTTAGACTGAATCTGGGGTCCTGCAGGAGTTTAAAGCATATTGTCTGGCTGGGTCTTGGCTCTTGCTGGATCCTTTGACTTAATATGAGGCTGAATCCCTTGGCCTAATATCAGTCTTCCTTTCCCATGTTTTGCCACAATAAACACAGTAGCTCCTAGCTTTTGCTCCTCAGTCTTCCATTCCCATGGTTTGCCAGAATAACCACAGCCAACTCCTTCCACCTGTCTGTCTAAGGAAGGAGTGAAGCCAGGGGGCTGAGACAAACCTTGGGAATGGGATGGGGGAGGGCCAGTGCGAACAAAGAGACACAAGGTACTTGTTAGTGTGCACATCAACATATGGTATCACTATCTTGACAAAAGGCATTGTTCCAGTTGCTTTAAGGAACCTGAAGCAAGACGGAATAAGCCAGCTGGTGGACCCTCAACATGCCTCAAAGGCTCTCTCTACTGATCTTGTTAATCTTGCAAAGGAAGTGCAAAAGGTGGGTGTTTTGCGGATTCTGGATTTCCGGTGTACAAATATTGACTGACGTGTGTTTGTGCCTAATTTTCTCCTGTATCTGCTGTCATGCCTGCATTGTGTTTCGCTACGGTGACGACGCATTTCCCGTAGTGGTAGTAGTAGTGGTAGTAGGTAACTGCTGTTGTTCTTACTCTTTTGGTCAGGCGGATTCCTTCGTTCGGGCGAACGTGGGCAACAAGCTCCAAGTCATCGTGGAACAGATCCGGTTCCTGCAGGCACAGGCTGAAAAGGTGCTGGGCGAAGCCAAACGTGACAACGACATTCACCACATTGCCTGCAACTGCAAGAAGATACCGGGAAACATGTACTTCATGTACGAGCGCCCGGGAGGACAGCGCTATATGTCCCTTATATCACCACAGGTATGTTCGAAAGGTTACGGTACATACGTACGTTCGAGAGGTTGCGGCTCAGAGGTACGTTAACGAGGTTGCGGTTCAGAGGTACGTTCAAGAGGTTACGACACAAGGGGTGGGGCCGTTCGGGAGGGCACAGTACAGAGGTACGTTCGAGAGGCTACTGTAGCTTGCGGCTACACCACGAAAGAACTCGCGCGAAGTGTTAAGTGTAGCTTTTTTGTCGTTAATTGCACAGTTCGGATCAGGCCGATGTCGCTGAGTGTGTATGTGAGTGTATGAGAGTGTATGGGAGTGTCGCTACGCTCAGCATGCCGTCATACCATCTGTGCCCCTCTGCCAGGAGTGGGGCAGCGCCTGTCCGCACCCATTCATCGGCGCCTACCGTCTGGAGAACGACATGTCGTGGACGCCGGAGGAGGAGACAAAGACGCGCGCCTCTGATGAGGCGCTCATCGAGCAGATCCTGCACAACAAGCGCGTGCTGGCCATCGCTCAGCCGGAGCCGGCCGCGGACGCGCCCTGACGACGCCGCTGTCGCGCTGATGGCTAGGGGAGGGGTAGGGGTAGACCAGTATGCACAACATTGTTTCATGTATGTGTGTTCGGCTGAATTAAGCGGCTCGTGGCTCGTGTTAACGAAGTGACGTATAATTGTCTAACACTCAGGGTTCCTTGGCGTAGGTGATGGGCTGTATGAGTCAGTTGGCAGCTGCTAAGCCTGTTCACATCTGGTCACGGGCCTGTGGAACCGGGCTGTCCGATGCTGTGGAGTAGGGTGACAACCTAGGAGGCTCTCTCCCAGGAAGCGTACGCTCACAAGACCTACGCCTAGAAGACCTACGCTCACAAGACCTACGCCGAGGAGACCTGCGCTCACAGGACCTACATCCAAGAGACCTACAGCGACGTCATTCACACGTTATCGAGTCACTTGCCGCGCTTGTCACCACGTTTCGTGGAGGGATGAACGAAAGCGTACTGTCACGGATACCGTCAAGTCATGCGCATGTCATGCCGATACCGTCAAGTCATGCGCATGTCATGCCGATACCGTCATGTCATGCGCATGTCATGCCGATACCGTCAAGTCATGCGCATGTCATGCCGATACCGTCAAGTCATGCGCATGTCATGCCGATACCGTCAAGTCATGCGCATGTCATGCCGATACCGTCATGTCATGCGCATGTCATGCCGATACCGTCATGTCAAGCGCACTAGATACCGTTGCGCGTCGGTACACCACGCCGCCGTCGACGTAAGAGGCTGCATTATTAATATCTTACAGAGGAGCCACAATAACGGGCGCTCAGTTCTTTTTTTCGTGCCAGCAGACCAAACCATCTTGCGAATGCAACCTTCATGAAATTATCCCTGACTGCCCCGTGGTTCCTATCTACGTGGAACGTTGCAACCATCCATCCGAACGAATATTATGAAACGCATTATGCCGTGCTCTCGCAAATTTAAGAATGAAGTTAGCCTTATGATGTTTTGGACCTCTTGAAGCTGGCCGGCACGAGTTGGCCCAGGGGCGGGACAATGATGGACCATGACTTGACACCCGAGGGTCCGAACAGATGATCTGGAGTCCCCATGCCGCGCTCTGGTGGAGCAAGCTGGGAACGGATTAAGTGCGCAAGGAATGGGATCGGCTTTGCCGTAAGCGGGGATGGGAGGGGAAGGAAAGTGCGTAGAACACGTCTTTCCTTACTCACGAGGCCTCCACTTTCAATGTGCGTTCAAGTAACGACTACCGCAGACTGCCCGATGTTTTGATCGAATGTGGCTCGCAGCGATGCGGACCCGTGGGTGTGGCAACATGTTTTGCGTGCGTACGCTTTACCCCATTCGCACTGGGTTTTGCATGTGCTGTCATTAATTTCCATCTTGTTTTTAAATGTCCAATGGACAGGTGACGGCGTGCGTCATCTCAAGTGAATTGCAATGACACACCATTACGCAGGCTGGCCGTCGTTTGAGGTGACAGGAATGCCACATCTCGTGTGTACGAACTGCATGTGCCGACACATTTTGTCCGAGGGATGTGTAGTGCATGCTTAGGGGTATGTACGTTTCCTGTTGGGTTTGACGATGCTCGGTATATGACGGGGTGTTTGGGAAGTGCTTCACGAACTGGATTATCGCCATGCCATTGGGGAGTGGACTCCCCAGCAAGAGTTTGTCATTTAACAACTCGCTGAACATTTTAATACACAATATTTGTGACAGATTGGTGTGGCGTTGTTAACCTAACGTGGGAGGCAGGGTCCCCTCTGCGGATTGAATGGTCTTGGTACCATATCGCCAGATTCGCTAAACGCGCGGATCAGTGCGGTCATTTTATCGAACATCTTATTTGCACAGCGCTTCTTACAAACTATGCGTTACAAACTTACAAACTCTTCGTTACAGTCACAAACTCCACGTTACGAACTAACAAACTACGTTACAAACTCAAGAACTCTGCGTCACAACTTTCTACGAGAGCCAGCAGGCATCACGCGCACCGCGCTAACACGTTTCATTCGAAGCGGTACAGCACAGCAGCGCACGATGGCCCCACATGAGCATTTTGGTATGGCTTGGGGAACCAGACATAAGCGGCATAGCGGCAGATAGCCCCAGTAGTTCGGCACAAAGTCAGCAGCACTCCGGGACAACATCGGCACACCGCACGGTGGAACAATCTGGCGCATAAAGCCGGAAAACCCGTGAGCCCTACGCGAAGATCGGGCGCGATCACAATTTCTCGCGACGAGCGCATTCAACCGGCGTTACCCATCACAGGTCTTCACATCGTGATCACACAATTGGCGGTTGCAATGTGAAGGTGCTCACTGGCAACGTCAACAGCCGACGACATCCGTTAACAAGAACTCGGCAAGCAGTGACCGTGCGCCAATCAGCACCCGTGCGTCCGAAGGAACCGGCGTCACCACCGACCGCAGCCGACGGGCGCAGCAACCGCAGAGTAACCAGTACAGTGACCACGCGGCGGCTGTGGCATGACAAACGCTTAGTGGCCACGCGGTAGCCGTGACACGGCAGCCGCACAGTGGTCATGCGGTGGCCGGGGTACGGCAGCCGCACAGTGGTCATGCGGTGGCCGTGACACGGCAGCCGCACAGTGGTCATGCGGTGGCCGTGACACGGCAGCCGCACAGTGGCCATGCGGTGGCCGTGACACGGCAGCCGCACAGTGGTCATGCGGTGGCCGTGACACGGCAGCCGCACAGTGGCCATGCGGTGGCCGGGGGTACGGCAGCCGCACAGTGGTCATGCGGTGGCCGTGACACGGTAACCGCACAGTGGTCATGCGGTGACCGGGGTACGGCAGCCCGCACAGTGGTCATGCGGTGGCCGTGACACGGCAGCCGCACAATGGCCATGCGGTGGCCGAGACACGGCGGCCGCGCAGTGGTCATGCGGTGGCCGTGACACGGCAGCCGCGCAGTGGCCATGCGGTGGCCGTGGCACGGTAACCGCACAGTGGCCATGCGGTGGCCGGGGTACGGCAGCCGCACAGCGGTCATGCGGTGGCCGTGACGCGGTAACCGCACAGTGGTCATGCGGTGGCCGTGACACGGTAACCGCACAGTGGCCATGCGGTGGCCGGGGTACGGCAGCCGCACAGCGGTCATGCGGTGGCCGTGACACGGTAACCGCACAGTGGTCATGCGGTGGCCGTGACACGGTAACCGCACAGTGGTCATGCGGTGGCCGTGACACGGTAACCGCACAGTGGCCATGCGGTGGCCGGGGTACGGCAGCCGCACAGCGGTCATGCGGTGGCCGTGACGCGGTAACCGCACAGTGGCCATGCGGTGGCCGTGGCACGGCTCGCAAACCTGGCTCGTTGACATCACAGCACCGGACCGAAATCACTGATTCACATACCGGCTAGTCATCGAATGGAAAATTAATCGAATTTCGTCCGGATAACCACGCGCGCCTCACAGCCTCAAAACGCGGCTGGCAGCAGGCACAGAAGACACCTCCCAAAGACGGCAGAACATATAGCCTGGAGCCGAGGCAGGGCGGCGGCAGTGCATTCTACAGAGAACACTATCCAATCTTGTCCCTGCATTACCCATCGGTCACCAGCTAGCCAGTACATGCCAGGTCAATCGATGGACTCCACCAGCCATCTGTTTGTGATTGCATGCCAGACGTGATTATCTGATCTGGTGCGATCTAACGCTAATCTAACGCGAGTCTAACGCGTTCATTTCCGCGCAGCAGTATGCCTTTACCAGATTGCACCAACCGTGACCACACGAACTACAGGCGCTTAACACTCTATTGAAAGCGTCCGCACCTACCGCCGAACCATTTTGAAAGCGCATGTGTGCAAAATCGCGACATGTTTTCATTCTTATGGTAAGTTTCTTTGAACAAACAGTCCGCTCTTTCGTTACCCTTCATCTGCGACATTTTGGCCCCAGTACGGAATAGGGATTATTAACACTGCAGTACACTCATTCAGTACTCGGCCCATGTTCAACTCAAAACTTCTCGAACGAATTCCAAGGAAAGGAAAAAGGTGTGCAAAAAAGATCCCACAATAAGCAGATAGCGCCACTTTATACGCTGCATATGTGCGGCGTGAAGAATAACATTGGCACGTTGAATTGATTAAACTATTGTCGATATACATATATTGTCTGCAAGGCGGGCCCTTGCCTTGACGGGCCCTGGCAAGATAACTGTTAGTCCAAAGTCTTCGCGTGCGCATGTCGACGGCGAACCTGCGCTTCAACATCCCACGTTTACGTCCGCACAGCGAAGCACCATCCGGTACGTAAACGTTCCAACAAAACTTAGAGCAAATGATATTGTATAAATGGTTTACGCCAGATGTCGGCGACCGACAGACGCGCCCGGCGCGCGGTGCTGGCAAAAGACGCGGTGCATGCTGAAGCAGAGTGCGCATCCCACCGTCCAAGATCGAAGCTCCTATCCGACTGATCACTTGCACGAAAGACGTGATAAGCCAGCACACCAGCCGCTCGTCACATAGCAACACATCTTTAAACTGCCAGAATTTCTAGGCAGCACCGTGCTGGGAGACTCGGCCAGTGTTATGCTAACGATATGTACGTATTCGTGTAGTGGGCAGAGCGCGCTACAGCAGTCACGCCCCCCCCCCCCCCCCCCCCGCTCGGCACCGTCGGTGGCCGACCCATCGCAAGGCACAGTACAGCAGCGCAGCACCCGCAGCGCCACAGAACCGAAGGCCAGCTCGGCAGGACGGGGATAGGCCCAGGACGGCTCCGTATGACCCAGCACGGCTCGGTCCGGCAAACCGAGGTCGGCTGTTTCAGCACGGCTCTGCCCGCCGGCCGGCCGGCCCCAGACATTGGTCACAGTCCTGCATCTTCTCGTGGTACTCCTCGATCTGCAGCGTCATTTCGTAGAAGTCGTGTTTGGCGCGCACCAGCAGCGTGGCCTGGCCCAGCACCTCCTGCGGCTGCACGCCCAGACCTGCCGCCGTCGGCGCACCGTCAGAACACGAACACGGGCCGCGTGGCACGTTTAGAACTCGGACGCCTGCATCGAAGCACCGTCCGTGGACGGACGCAGCACTGCACTGCCGACAGGCCCACTGTCAGAACACGACAGCTGCAGCGCACCACCAACACAGCACGGACACCAGCACCGCACTGCCGACAGGCCCACCGTCAGAACACAACAGCTTCAGCGCACCAGCGATACGGTACGGACACCAGCACCATGCTGCTGACAGAACCACCGTCAGAACACAACGACCAAAGCGCACCACCGATATAGCACGGATACCAGAACCGCACTGCTCACGGAACCACCGTCAGAACACAACAGCAGCAGCACACCACCGATACAGCACGGACACCAGCACCACACAGCCGACAGGCCCACCGTCAGAGCACAGATGCGACAGCGTACCGCTGTGCTGCTGGGACGGCCCAGAGTCATATTCCCATGTTCACTTTGACGCGTAACGTTCCGAATGTCTCCTGTCCCAACACACGGAGGGTGCCCGTGCTACGGACTTCGGTCTGATTTTATATTCGTTTTTGATGCCCAAGAATCGAGAGATTAAGCAATGAAATACTGAAGAGTCCAGATAAAACCGCACCATAGTATTGACGTTTTTGTTAAAGATCTGCCGTGTTTCATCTCAGAAATCGGGCATGCTGAAAGGAGCTGGAGATGTGTGTAGGCAGTGGCGATAGCAGGCGACAGCAGATCCAACCGATGACGATGTGGGCCGATAGACCTTAGCATTTGTCATTTGGTCCCTTAGCATTGTTCATGCTAAGGGACCAAATGACAGCAGACCTGAGCGATGACAATATGGGCCCAGAGGGCCGGCTTGTCCATGCTAAGGGACCAGACGACAGCGGACCTACCTATGACGATGTGGGCTGAGAGGGCCGGCTTGTCCATGCTGAGGGACCAGACGACAGCAGACCTTACCGCTGACAATGTGGGCCGAGAGGGCCGGCTTGTCCATGCTGAGGGATCAGACGACAGAGGACCTTACCGATGACAATGTGGGCCGAGAGGGGCGGCTTGTCCATGCTGAGGGACCAGACGACAGCGGACCTACCTATGACGATGTGGGCCGAGAGGGCCGGCTTGTCCATGCTGAGGGACCAGACGCGCAGGTTGTGCACTTTCACCACGCCCGGGATGTGCTCCAGAATGGTCTGCAGGTCATCTATGTCTATCCCTTTCGGGATGCCTGCGGACGACGAGTCATCTCTGAAAGGGACGCGATGTAGGGCGATGTACAGACTCGGAGATTGTCGTGCATGATTTTCCGAGGCATGATCCCGGAGGCAGATTTCCCACCCTCCACCTCAGTCGCAGTGACTGCGCAGGTGACCGTCAGACAACACATTGTTGCGATGCACATGCACTATGACATCGCTATAGAGCGACCTCATCACGGAGGCATCACCAGACCAGACCCACGTGGAGCACCACAGGTGGCAGCCGTCCTCCCACCTTCCATCAACACGTTGATGGTGTCCTTCAGGATGGTCAGCGTCGTGCCCAGGACGAACACGCTGAACACAAACGTGCAGATCGGGTCCACCAGGATCCAGCCGGGCTAAAAACGAGGGGTCACATCCGGTCGGCGGGGCGCCGCACGCGGTGCTGAGCCGCCGACCGCCGACACGTCGCTGGCACGGGCACCGCACGCACCACGGGCGTTTCCGACGCGCTTTTAATAATATCAGCCAGCTCATAGGACAGTAATGAGCAGCGACGACACCGATAGTTGACGACTCGTGAACACAACATTTCTGATGACACGAATGGGCGAACTAGTCCAATGCCCAGCGTGTGAGCATAAGGGTGGGGTACAAGTCGCCTGTCTTCCCACACCACCTTCCGCTCAAGGACGGGCACACACACCTTGAAGTAGATGACAAGCGCGGCGATGAAGACGCCGATGCTCTGCAGGAAGTCGCCGATCACGTGGATGAAGGCGGCGCGGACGTTGATGTTGTCACCGCCACCGTGCGAGTGAGCCGATCCGCCGCCGTGGGAGTGGCCGTGCTGGTGCAGCGTGCAGCCCATACTGCAGGCAGGCGACAACAGCGATACACGCTCAGACGTGGTCCTTGCTGGCGCGGTGGCAGACATTGCGTGTCACGGTCAGACGCAACCGGTGGTGAGACCATGGTAACCACTGGTCACGGTCAGACGCAGCCGGTGGTGAGACCATGGTAACCACTGGTCACGGTCAGACGCAGCCGGTGGTGAGACCATGGTAACCACTGGGCACGGTCAGACGCAGCCGGTGGTGAGACCATGGTAACCACTGGTCACGGTCAGACGCAACCGGTGGTGAGACCATGGTAACCACTGGTCACGGTCAGACGCAGCCGGTGGTGAGACCATGGTAACCACTGGTCACGGTCAGACGCAGCCGGTGGTGAGACCATGGTAACCACTGGGCACGGTCAGACGCAGCCGGTGGTGAGACCATGGTAACCACTGGTCACGGTCAGACGCAACCGGTGGTGAGACCATGGTAACCACTGGTCCGGTCAGACGCAGCCGGTGGTGAGACCATGGTAACCACTGGTCACGGTCAGACGCAGCCTTGACTCATTGGGCTCATTCCACGCAAACTCAACTGCTAAAAGTACAATTTTGCATAACACTATCTCACATCTGGACAAGATTTGATCTACAAAAATAAGCTATCTTCTGCTCCGATCACGGCTTTGAAATTTTCAGACCGTTGCGCCCAGCCGTTCTTCGTTGGTGAGGACGTCACAAAATGGCATGACAAAAATGCGCATGCAAAACATGCGCATTTTTGTCAACTGCCGCAATCATAGCATATTATTCGATTGAAAACCGCTACTATGCTGCCAATGCAGAGCCTTGAGTAACAATATTAAGGTACGCTGAATCATCATCAACCGAATTAATAGAAAAGCTGCGACTCACTGCGCACTCGCATAGTGCAGGTGCGATCATAGCCCATAGCACATCTCGATTTTCATCATCGTCCACAAAACTGCTGAGTTCACCCAAGAACCCTCCAAGCAGTCTGATCGCCGAGAAGGATCTGAATGTCATCATGACTACCATCGTAGGGAAGCCAATCGGAACACGTGAACTGGCTGCTGGTCCCCATACCGCTGTCATAGGCCAATCGGAACAGGTCAACTGGCTGCTGGTCCCCATACCGCTGTCATAAGCCAATCGGAACAGGTCAACTGGCTGCTGGTCTCCATACCGCTGTCATAAGCCAATCGGAACAGGTGAACTGGCTGCTGGTCTCCATACCGCTGTCATAAGCCAATCGGAACAGGTCAACTGGCTGCTGGTCTCCATACCGCTGTCATAAGCCAATCGGAACAGGTCAACTGGCTGCTGGTCTCCAAATCCCTATCATAAGCCAATCAGAACCGATGAACTGGCTGCTGGTCTCCACATCCCTATCATAAGGAGGTTTTAAAAAGAACTGTTCCCTGGACTAAAAATTTGCTGCTGATTATGTTATCGCGTGCTCTTTTCTATTACAGTCATCGTTGAAAAGTTGGTGAATCTTTGTCGCCACGGAAAAAGCAGGCACGTCACCAATTTCGTGCCAAAATATCAGCATAAACATCATGAAAAATAAAGCCCACGGATATACCAATCGGATAGATGTCACATCACTGGTAATAAGGACACGCTTAATTAAAGTTTCTTCCTGAACAAGTGTTATTTTCAATGTAATCTTAAACCGAGTCAGTGAATACAAAGGGGACGAGACAAGATGGAGTAGGCGAAAGCAAAAAGCGGGGAACGACCTTCAGCATCATATGGAATTGACCTCGAGGAAGAAGACAGGGAACCACGCCAATATATGAATTTTACGAATACAAAAAATGACGACAGATCTTAGGCACAAAATTTAACCATCCGTCCACATCGTGCGGAACTAACCACAGATTCTTACCCTGTTCCCGTTTAAATTCATACAACTGCTCCCAGGTTTGGCACTACTTACATAAATCAGGACAGCGAGAAAAAATCGAATGACCGACGGAGTTCTGATGGCTCCAGAGGCACCACAGGTAATTGTGCAACCTGATTAACTGCAATAACAACTGCAGTCGTTGGCAGTTCTGTGAACGATGATGAAGATCCAGCTTCACTCCTGAAACGGCTCTTGGTTGTTCAGAGGTCCGACGACTGGCCCTGAGCCTGGACTCTGGCTGTACCGGATCCTCTACTTTTGACGTGCACGACTGTGGGAGCAGGCTCGATGGGCCTGGCCGGTAAGGATCCGGCTTGGTCGACAAGCCCGAATGAGGCAGACCCATGACCTCAGAATCCTTCTTCAGGAATTTGTTTTCAACCTTCTGGGCATAGACTGTCACTGACTGATACAAGTCCCAGAACCAAACAGTGGCGAACACTAAATCTTTTGATCGCAGGTCGTAGCCCTAAACTGGCCGTTTTAAGCTTCAGGTTCAACAGGTTAACTCAAACCCTCCCTTTTGAAAGGCATGAACGTCTCATAATCACTGCGCGTAAGACTATCTATCCAGAGAAAGCTCACCCCGCCAAGTAAGCCCCAGCTGAAACGGTCGATTTCATTGGGTCTGGGGCAGACGAATGATAGCCACGACGCTATCATTTTTCAAACAACGACTAAAACCGTCAGATAAATTTTTTCTGGATTCGAGCGGGAGGCGCCGTCAACTGTTGATGGCATCAGCGCGAGCCGACCGACCTGCAGTGGCTGGGTGGCACACGGGGCCGGCCGACCGACCTGCAGTGGCTGGGTGGCACACGGGGCCGACCGACCGACCTGCAGTGGCTGGGTGGCACACGGAGCCGGCCGACCGGCCTGCAGTGGCTGGGTGGCACACGGGGCCGACCGACCGGCCTGCAGTGGCTGGGTGGCACACGGGGCCGGCCGACCGGCCTGCAGTGGCTGGGTGGCACACGGGGCCGGCCGACCGGCCTGCAGTGGCTGGGTGGCACACGGGGCCGGCCGACCGGCCTGCAGTGGCTGGGTGGCACACGGGGCCGGCCGACCGACCTGCAGTGGCTGGGTGGCACACGGGGCCGGCCGACCGACCTGCAGTGGCTGGGTGGCACACGGGGCCGGCCGGCCGACCTGCAGTGGCTGGGTGGCACATGGGGCCCGACCGGCCTGCAGTGGCTGGGTGGCACACGGGGCCGGCCGGCAGCGTCGCGCCACGCCGCACCGGTCCGGTCCACCCGGCCATGGGCTATAGTCGCATCCTCACTGTGATAGTGTGTAGCGAGTCTTACCATTTCTATTGACAGTAACCGACATAAATTCAACGGCGATTTCCGTAAACTGAGGTTCCTAACGATTCGCAGATGTCATCGACTTGGGAAATTGCGTTTATATATTTGAAAAAAGCATAGTAACCCAATAGTGATACAGTATTTTAGTTAGTTTGATATCGCCTATTAGGACATTGTATTATTTGCGTGACGTATTGCGACAGAAAGCTGTGGTATGGGTGTACAGTTATCAGCGTTTGAGTTAGCGCATTTTTACCACTACGCCATTTCCTACGTGCTCGTCAACGGAACACGGCTGGGTGCAGAGGTCTTAATTTAAAAAAAATCGTTATCAGAGCACGAGCGGACCCGACAGATCAAGTTGTGTCCAGATCGGGGATGGTGGTGTATACTCGACTGGTTAAGGTGGAGTGTAATGGCATCAAGGTGAGACGGTGGCAACCAAACGCTTCGGTCTGACGCAGCCCCTGCTGGTGCTGCGGTGCGGTGAGCGTCACGCGCCGCCGCGCCGCCGCGCCGCCGGCCGGCAGTATCGCGGTAATGGCGTGGCGCCGGGTCGGCCGGTTCCGTCGCAAGAAAAGACCACGACTCTGTGCCCCGCAGCGGCCGCGCGGGTGACCTGGGCTGCGTACCCCACTAGCAAAGCACCTACCTGAGCTGCCACCTACGACGTCACAAGTGCCCACGTCATACACGAGCGACTGTGCTCCAAGCCGCAGGAACTGTCATGACGCACTTACCTATGACGTCACAAGTTGCAACTTGCAGACGGCGTTTGGCATCAGTTATCGTGGCCCTGGTGCCCGGTCAGTGAATCACGATGTGGCAAGCGGAGAGCGAGGTCAGGTATTTGTTTACTCAAGTTCAGACGTACATGATATAAATAGTTATGGATTAACCATCTTTGCAAAAGGCGAATAAAGAGCAATTCCAACATTTTGGCGCGCTCAGTAGGACCTGTTAGGAAAGCCTTTTCCCGGAACGTACTTAGCCACGTAGAGTCGGGAAAAGCTGAGCGGGGAGCTGAGTGACTGATTGGCACCTTCTTAAATTTGCTAGAGCGGTGCGCTCTACGAAAATGGGCCCAAAAATCTCGCCTTTAGGAAGAGCACGCAAGCCTTCCGGATCCAGAAAATGGGAAACGTGATTGGCCCGCTTCGGGGCACAGACGCAGCAGTACGACGGAGAAGGAAAACGAATATAAGAACCATTGAGTCTCCTTGAAGATGACGCTTCCGGTGCTTTTGTGTCCTTATCAATGAACTCTAGGTTCGAATACACCGCGATGAAGACAGCGTTAGCTTCTCGCCTTGGAAGAAAGATGGACCGCCTGCAGGCTTATGCTGAACTTATCCGAGCGGTCCAGGCACAAGGCAAGCCGGTGAAACATTCCGCGAACAGAATATACAACTTGGGGAAGTTGGCTTGTCCAGGCGCAGCTGACGGAACGCAGCAGTTAAGGGCAGCCTCACCCGCTGCTTTACATGTGGTCTGCGGCACAATGAGTTCAAAGCCAACCCTGTAGTCGTTACCAAGAGACCTTGCAGGAGGGTCTCCAGCAGGTCCTGACTTTGAACAGCCACCGCAGGTTATTCCACGTGGTGCAGGCGACACAAAATCCTCCGGCTTCGGAGTTTTCTTTGAGGCTTTCGTGGGCCTTAACGGATGTCTGCAAGAAATTTGGAACCAGTGGCTGATGCAGAGACAAGACAGTGGAGCTATTACAAATGTTCCGAATCGATCGAGCGCTCCAATTAAACAAAAAAGTGTGCCGGATCAGCAGTGGACGCAGGAGATTCGAAACAAGTGTGGAAATCAACGCTGGAATGCGTATAATCGTCGCATAGGTGAACGATTACATTTGCTGTCATTTTCCCCTACACCCATATTTGTGTGCCACACGCTGCCACTATAACTTGGTGCACCCGTCTTTCAATGTGCACTCCACTGGGATATTGCAGCAAGCTTGCTATCAACAAACGGTCCGCTCAAAACTCGCCATATTGAACTTTGAGCCGTGCTCCCTTGAGGCTCCGTATTCAAAACAAATATGAGCGCTGCTAACGCCTTATGTCTTTTATCTTGTCCTGTCCCCCACCCCGCCAACTCTTATCTCCTTTGCATATTTTTGTGCGCATTTAGCATGGACTAAGTACCCGGCAACAGACAGACAGCCATAAAATGAACGAGTATGCACTGATTTAGACACAATAGCCAATGATCCATCTTTGGCGATCCATAATCACACCAATCAACCCGGTATATCATATAAAGTTGATCATAGCAATTACATATCTTCCACGCATGACAATTTTTTAATTATGTCGCGTTTCGTGACGCGAAAGCTTATTTCAACACCAGCTTTCAGCAGCAGCCAGTAGTCTGACGTATTCTACTGGCAAAACGGCTCTCAGAAATACAGCTGAAGCGGTCTTATGATGAGATCAGAGGACATCCGCTCGGGTACGCGTCACGCTCACCCGCGCAAGGCATGGGCTGGGGTGTAACGCGTTTCCATCTACGCAGCCTGCCAGGTGGCGTGTTCTCAGTGAGCTTCGAGGCACGCCATCGGCAGGGTGACTGAGCCCGCCGGCGCATCGCGGCCGCCTCCCGACCACACGCATAGTTCAGGAACGGCCGAGACCCCGGCCGTCGTGCCTGTCCCGGCAGCACCTCCAGGCGGAAGCGACGATTGTTTGGACAGCCCAGCGTGACGTCGCATGTTTAGCTCAGGGCGGAGCGTAATACATTCAGGATCAGAACAGCGCGCACACTGAATAACTTCAACTTTAAAGGCATTGTACGTACCAAAAAATTGTTAAGTTAAATGTGTAGAAAGTTGCGGCACTCTCCCCTCTCCCGATCTATTTCTTATCTTCGATTTGACCAGAAGCATTGTTGCAGTACTGTAAAGCTAAGATGAAAAAGGAAACGAAAGCGCTGAACATTTTGCGTGTTGGGATTTCGTGAGTTAAAAAACTGCTCCGAAGAATCATATATTTCTGCTGGTTCTAGGACACCAATGAGTTTGTTTACTTAAAATGGGCCCATTCGCCCTTGATGCCACTGTGCTTATTAACGTGACAGTTTAGATAGATGCATAGAAAGTTTAACCATCTCGTCGCCATTGGGGCTGTACGACGCGCTCGGCTGCTGAGGCTGTATGGCGTCACCTGCCTTCCCTCACTCTGACAGCAGTGGCGGGCGCTGCGGACAATCCAGTCTCGAGGTTGAACCATTTTAACCCAATTCATGTGACAATGTCTTCTGTTATCAGATGTACGCTCTTAGAATTGAAATGATTCGTTTAACTCTGGTTTCAACACAAAGATTTGTGGGACGGCACATGTACTCAGATATGGTAACATGATCGTGATGCTCTTACATATGGCGGCAGTGTTCGCCATGAGATTACGACGAGGTCGACTGAACGTAACGATGAAGACGAAGTAACACATGGATGCATGTTTTTCCACAGTTCTGTGCACGTGGCACGAAAGCGGCATTTTTTTTCTCTCGGAATGTCTGTCTTGTTCTGGGACAAATACATATTACTCACTTTTGATCAGCCCAATCTCTCCAACCAGTAAAACAGTGCACGTGTATGCACCACACGAAAATGCTAACATTGGATCAATTCGAATTGAAACTAAGCCAACTTTATGAAAAGAGCGGGCAGGAAACTGCAAAACCAGATGCACACGATTGAATACAATCAAAAGATGAAAACATGGGGCTGAAAGCGTCGAATGGCTCTTACTAGATCGGACTAAACTCGACCAGAATGAAAACCATCTGAACTGAATTGTTGTCATAAAGCCCACCCAACCGACGCCACAACCAAACCGCCGAAAAATACGACAACCTGTTGACATTTCAGAATGCAAAAATCGTGCTTCCATGACATAATACGAGAAATAAAATGGTTCAAAATTATGAAATCAGGACACGACACGAAGGAGTGAGAACAGGCCCTACAACAGGATGCTTAGCACATTTTCCCCCGAGATGCACCTCACTATTAGAACACGCCACCTCGTATAACAATAAAGAGGAACCGCCAGCACCCGCCGTCCTAATTGATGTAACGCACGCTTACGGGCAGGCCACGGCTCGATACACCGCGTCTGGGCCTTATTCGCGGGCACAGGACACCCGGGGCACCTTAAACGCTGACTTTCTTTAAGGTAATAATATTTTGCGCACGCTCCTGTGCAGCTGAGTACAGTGGCGGCCGCCGTCGGCCTACTGTGTAGCTGAGTACAGTGGCGGCCGCCGTCGGCCTACTGTGTAGCTGAGTACAGTGGCGGCCGCCGTCGGCCTACTGTGTAGCTGAGTACAGTGGCGGCCGCCGTCGGCCTACTGTGTAGCTGAGTACAGTGGCGGCCGCCGTCGGCCTACTGTGTAGCTGAGTACAGTGGCGGCCGCCGTCGGCCTACTGTGTAGCTGAGTACAGTGGCGGCCGCCGTCGGCCTACTGTGTAGCTGAGTACAGTGGCGGCCGCCGTCGGCCTACTGTGTAGCTGAGTACGGTGGCGGCCGCCGTGGGCCCGCTGTGTAGCTGAGTACAGTGGCGGCCGCCGTCGGCCTACTGTGTAGCTGAGTACGGTGGCGGCCGCCGTCGGCCTACTGTGTAGCTGAGTACAGTGGCGGCCGCCGTCGGCCTACTGTGTAGCTGAGTACGGTGGCGGCCGCCGTCGGCCTACTGTGTAGCTGAGTACGGTGGCGGCCGCCGTCGGCCCGCTGTAGCTGAGTACGTGGCGGCCGCCGTCGGCCTACTGTGTAGCTGAGTACGGTGGCGGCCGCCGTCGGCCTACTGTGTAGCTGAGTACAGTGGCGGCCGCCGTCGGCCTACTGTGTAGCTGAGTACAGTGGCGGCCGCCGTCGGCCTACTGTGTAGCTGAGTACAGTGGCGGCCGCCGTCGGCCTACTGTGTAGCTGAGTACGGTGGCGGCCGCCGTGGGCCCGCTGTGTAGCTGAGTACGGTGGCGGCCGCCGTGGGCCTACTGTGTAGCTGAGTACGGTGGCGGCCGCCGTGGGCCCGCTGTGTAGCTGAGTACGGTGGCAACCGCCGTGGGCCTACTGTGTAGCTGAGTACGGTGGCAACCGCTTTGGGCCTGCTGTGTAGCTGCCAACTCAGCTGCACAGACACACAGACCGACACAGTGTCCCCGCGCTCTCTCACAGTGCCCCGCGCTCTCTCCCTACTGTGCCTTCCCCTCCTACGCTGCGTACGCACATGATGTTGACCAAGACGCCCAGGCCGGACGTGATGAGCATGATGACGGCATTGAGTTCGAAGTTGCGATAGATGACACGCTGGATGGCCATGTAGACCAGCACGCCAGTCACCACCCAGATGAGCAGCACGGAGACCAGAGCGCCCATCACCTCTGCAAGACACCGCACCGCCGGCGCTCCAGTCACACAGGCTGCGCACCACAGACCGGACCGGCAAACACAAATGGCATTCAGTAGGACATCGGTTACATAATGGTGAAGTATCTGTCATGTTTCTAAATTGGCATGGACAGGTCGGGTGTGAAATGGACGTGGCTTATCGGCAGTGTTTCAACAATTAGTCTCGTGGGTAGCGAGTATCGATATTTGTTTATGCTATTACACCCCGGCTACATCTTATTCAAATAACTATTATTCGAATGATATTCAAGTGCGCCATTCCTGCGTGTTATAAGTTTCCATAGGATTGAATCAGCTGATTCTAATATTTCCCTATTTGAAATTAAAGGCAGTCTTCATTGACATGAAGTTGTGACGCCACCTCAATAGGAGAAGGGGGGGGGGGAAGGGGGGGGGGCATGGGTCGTAAGTCCATGGGGAGTCGGGCCCTGGTGTCTGGATTCGAGGTGGCATCGCAGAGCATCAGAACAAACGTTCACATTTACATCCTGCACACCCCTATTGCATGCATTTTTGAACGCTGGTTGCAGGGACTAATAAGCAGAATCGCTACACAGCCAAAGCATACATTTTGTGGCGTAGAGGTGTAGAGGTGTTTGTGGCAGGTCGTACTTTGAGCAAACGCCAGGAGCAGAACATTTCATTGAACGGAACGCAATCCACGAAACACAATCAGTGCAGACGTGCGAATCGGAGAACGCGGCACGAGTCAAGACACAACACATGCAGCAACATACACGCAGAATGGCCACCGCACAGTGCGTTCACGGCCAGTAGGATGCACTCAACTCCCCCCCCCCCTCCCCCGGACAAACATTACGCAGTCCCGCAGTCGGCAGAAGTCCGTCAACAAACAACGGCCGCCGGATGGCGGAGGCGTGCAGCAGAAAGCCACAGCCAGCCCTGCCCCGCTCATGGCCGCATGTACTGCAGCGTCCGCTCGGGGGAGACAAACGGTGGAGCAGAGCGCCACACCAGACGAGACCGTCTGCCCCCCCCCCCCTCCCTCTCCCCCTGGGCCCCCACCGAGCGGGGGGGGGGTCTGACCTGCCCTGTGCCAGCCGAAGCTCATGCGGGAAGTGGCCGGCCGCGACGCGATCCACAGCGAGAACAGCGAGATCATGAAGCTGGCGAAGTCGGCCAGCAGGTGGGCCGCGTCCGTAGCGATGGCGATCGAGTTGGAGAGGTAGCCGCCTGGTCCGGGCGCACGTCCAGCGGTCAGTCACAACGGCACGCCGCCAGCACGCAGACGCACAACGCGGCGTGCTGACCGGATACTGATGCAGTTCTCCGAGCCTTTCGTGCGCACACGTCCTGCATCACTCTAAACATTTAAGCGCTTAAATTACGGCTTTGAGTGGCGATCCACTTGCGCAGATAAGAGGCAAGTGGAGTTAGTAAGATGCGTCCGAAATCCTGTCCGCAAGATTCGGAAGTATTTCACAATTCTGCATAGAGCGCGCAACTTTGAAATCTGCCCGTGCTAATAATCTAGTGTTTCTATGTCTGTGTCTGGTGTCAACGGTAGCATAACGATTGATAGTCAGCATTTTTCGGACGTGGAAGCGGACAGTTCTGTGATAACTTGAGCGGGGGCGAGCGATCGGACGGCTCAAACCGAGCCGAGACTCACCGACGATCTCAGCCACCATGAAGAAGAGGCAGAGTACGCTGGCCACGATCAGCTTCTTGCGCGCCGCCTGGTTCATCCCAGCAGTGCGCGACACGTGACAGTGCGGATCTGTCGGAGTCGGACAGAGCGGCAATCAAGACCGCCGCTCTACAAAATTGTCATGATTTGCAGTCTCCGGCAACATTTTGCGGACAAACACACCACAGGTGCTAACAATACTAATCTGTTATTGAAAGACAACACAACAGTACCAGTCAATGCTGATTCCATGTACACGCCACATCATTGACGTTTGAATTGCATCTGTAGTGTGTTTATCAGGACGTACCTACTTCCGAGCGCGCCTGTAATCCGGCCCTGCCACCGCACGGCACGAAACCTCACGGCAGCGGAACGAACGCGGGCGGCGGCATCATCCCATTTCGCGCCCGCGCATGCGCGTGTTTGAAGACGGCAAGTGGTGCCTTGCCCCCGCGCGATACGGGCTGAAGTAGTACCGGGACGCGCCGACCCACTCCATTTCGACAAACGCCTTCACTGGCAGGCGCTATCGGCGGCGTCACACAGATTGGATCACCGATCCAAGGCTGTACTTACGGACGCTTACGCTAGATATAAACATAAGGCGTGCTGGTATCTCAAGTGCAGTCCAAGTGGTGCGCGGTAAGACAATGCCGTAACTCCATAGTGTTGTTTGTGCTCATACGGAGTAGGCCATGTACTTCAACAACTTGAGCAAAGATCTGGCATCTAGGCGACAGATTACAACTGAAAATCCCAGTGCACGACCTATTTGTCAAGTCGTTGGCATGCCGCTGCCTCTTTACGTGATTGCAAGACCTTTATGATCTTTAAAATCTGCCCTTTCCATGAAAATAAAACACTCTGGGTTGTCATGTGCATGTTGAGTCTATTATTCCCAAATTCAGCGTTTTGTAATTTTGTGGGACTCAAACTTTCCATCTAGGTTTAGCCGCGAATCAGGTAGTCACTGCGGCGGATTTCAGCATTTTAAGGCAGCTCTCACCAACCGTTTCACCGGCTGACATGGGCGGCGGGGGACGCTGAGGCAGACATAACGACGGCTGACATGGGCGGCTCAATTAAGAGTAAAAGTAATATCCAACATCCAAGGTCGTGCTTTCTCAAGCCGGCATCCATTTCTTCGCGGGGACGATTGTTGTGTTGTGCGGTGTATTGTATGGTGCAATTTTTTTCCCGGAAAGAAGCAGTAGCGACGAAACGTCTGGAAGTGGGGCAGGCGTGATTTGTACTTTGTTGCCTTCCAGGGCCCGTCATAGAGTTAATGTTAAACGTTGCCCAAAGTTGGGGGAGCTACCCCTGCCCACTAATCCGCTGCCTCCGGATGAACAACCGATGACCAGGCTCCTTGCTGGGCGGTTTGCATCTATAAAAGAACAGGACATTAACGTTTGAAAACTATGCATTTTCCATCCTTTCATAGAGCCGAATGCCATGACAGATAACTTGTGCTAAACGTGGCACTCCAGAGTAATATTAGCTAAAACCAAAGGCCAGGGGTGTCACTTTGCGTACTTTAAGGGGCCTGAGCCCCCCCCCCCCCCTCTCCCCGCAAAGCTGACTTGAGGTCTCTCGATGCTCTTTTGAGCCCAAATACATATGAACAAAAAATATGATATGCGATAAAATATGATACAAATACTATGAACAAAATACTGCCCCAATGAAATGCAGTAAAATGCAGTGAAAATGTGCCAGAACTGCTGGTGCACTACAAACATATCACCAATATCAGGGCTGGAATTCCTGTGAATGTCGGGGGAAGAGGGGCTAGACCCCCCGGCCGCAGAAAATCGGAAATCTGGGGTTCCAAGGGCACATTGAAGGATTCTACCCGGCTCACCCATCTCCCAGAAAAATGAGCGTACTTAAGAGACACACTCAAAAAGCTTCTTTGAAAGAATTAACGTCCAGACTGTAACAAACAACTCTCTCTTGATGCTCACTGGACCTTATGTGGTAATTTGCCCCCCCCCCCCCACGCTATTCAGTGGTCTCTTTCTGGCTGCCAGTGGCACGATGCCTTTGTAGCTACTTAGGGCACTCCGTAGCGACTTTTACGTACGTATAGCTACTTTTTAAAGCCGCCTCAGACTAAAAGAGGACCTCGCGACTCCCGAAGAGCTCTTTGGCGACTCAGGAGTCGCATGGCCTGCTCAAGGCCATGTGTGTTAACGGCTCCTCTGACCGCTCATGGGCCGTTTAAGTTACCGCTATTTGGGCTATAGAGGACCCCTTGGCCAATGGGGTTCTCCTCTGACTGTTGAGGGAGAAAGGATGAAACCCTGAATGGCATAAGGTATCTTGCGTTGGTCGGGGCCCTCTCACAACAAAAGAGTTACGAAAGAAGCCACAGTGAAGCAATGGAAGGGCCTGTATTAGGCCCTCCGCCCGTTTCATCTATGCCTCAAATACGTCGAACTGGGAACCCTGTGCCATTTATCGAACCCGCCACGTCAAGAACCTGGATGGGACCGATATACCTTTTACGTCGCTGAGGGGCGCCTGCGTCGATCCAGGGTCAACAATTTCGGTCAGAGAACCTTCAGCGTCGGGGAGGAGACCAGTTTATCATGTATCCCTCGTAGGGCCTCCGTATCGACCATGGGCCCCGGCCCACGTGTCGTCAAAACGATAGCCGACAGGCAACCCGAAATGGGACGGAAAGGCCCGTCAGCCCCCCCCCCCCCCCCACCCCATCGAGAAATATATTAGGTCCCCTAGTCTTAACTCAGGAATCTTCTGGGTCTGGCCTTGTGGGGGAGGGGGGAGGGCGACCAGGAACCCATAGGAGGGCTCTTTTCAGCTCGCACCGTGTAGCAACAAATTGCCGAACAGAAGTTCAGACAATACCACAGCAGCCTCCGGCATCCCGTAAGATCCATCTTGTACACTTGTGGCCCCCTCTGGCCGCTCAGTGGGGACTTCCTGGTCGCCTGGTCCACTGTGGCTACAACTGGGGCACCCATGCCATGCCAACACAGTGTCATGAGTGGCACTCAGTTTGAGGAGGCCGGAGCGCATCCCAGCGGATCCTGTTTTGGCAGGGGGTCTCGGGTCGGGCAGGGACAGTGTTTGAGTGGGGTCAAAGAGGGGCCCGGCGATAAGGGGCCAGGTTTGAGGACCACAAGGCCGGAATGCCAGTCAGAGGGCCCTTTGCACTGACCGGGGGCCCCTGGGTCGATGAGGGCCTCTGTGTCGGCCAGGCACCACCAGCACCGAACAGTCGGCTGCGCGTCGGTTTGGACCTGTGGACCCATTTCGCAAACAAAAACAAGACCGGGGCCTGCGATTTACGTTGGTTGGGGCGCCTGGCTAAATGAGGGCCCCTTTGTCTGTCGGATGCCCAACGTGTCTAACAGGGGGCCCTGCATAGGTAACTGGCCCCGTGGCCGCCAAGGGAAATGTTCGAGGCGACCCGACGAGTGGTCCGAAGGACCCTTCGGAGTCGATGATTGGGGCCCCGAGTTGGCCGGGGGCAGTGTTCGAGGGGCCCGAAGGGCTGACTGGAGGTTGTGTTGAGGGGCAGGGTCCGCAGTGCCAAGGCCTCAGATGCCAATCAGAGGGCCTCTTGCGCGGATCGAGGGCCCGCTGAGTCGATAAGGGCCTCTGTATCGGTCAGGCACCACAATACCGAACAGTCGGCTCTGTGTCGGTCTGAGTCTTGTGGGCCAGTCCATGAGTATGGATAAGGCGAGTGCCCGATATTTGCATTGTTCGGAGCCCCTTAAACCCTGCGTCGGTCACAGCACACAGTGAGTAGCCGAGGTTCCTGCGTCTGCAGGCAGCCCCAAGTCGGCCAGTGGAACATTTGCTGAACAGGAACATGGGCGGAACCTAGAATGCCAGGGGACTCCTGCGTTGATCGGGGTCCTCTGAAAATGAAATGAAAGGCCGCGTCAGCCAGGGGCCACCACACCCAGCGGGGGCCCTCCAATCCCTTTCAGCCAGAAGTCCCTTCGCCGAGATGAAGCCTATTTGCCAATTATGGAACCCCTGTGGCGATAATGGACCTTTCTGCGCCCACGAAGGCCCCCCTGCGTCGATCCGGGATAAACTACCTGGGTTAGAGGGCCTTGAGCGTCAGGGAGGGGACCAAGGTATGAGGAACCCCTCCAGAAGTATCTGGATGGCCAGGCTACCCCTACCCGTGTCGTCAGAATGGTAGCCGGTGCGCAGCCGGCGCTGGACATAAGCCTCTGACCGGGAAGGATAATGTGCTCTAGTGTTCCTCCCCCCCCCCCCCCCCCCACATGCCCCCTCCTCGGAAAAGGTAATGGATGTCTTCAGCAGTCGACAGGGCGGGTAGAAATAAGATCAAACCAGCCTATGCTTGCCTGATTTCGCCCGTCTTGCCACAGAATCCACTGGGTAAACATCTTACATAAAAGGGTTCTGAGCCAGCGTGCTCGTAATCTTAGGAGCTAGAACGCTGATGGTCGAGATTGCAGTTTGCGTCCAACCGAACGGGATCGGCCGCTGCAGGTAACGTTAGGCGGCGGCTGACGGACGCGGGATCGGCCGCTGCAGGTAACGTTAGGCGGCGGCGGCTGACGGACGCGGGATCGGCCGCTGCAGGTAACGTTAGGCGGCGGCGGCTGACGGAAGCGTGAGACCGACGTCGTAAAATAATGCCTCCGAACGTTCATCAAAGTCAATTTGCAATGTTAAAGCATAGCACTGCGCTGTATATTTCACCTGTAAAATTTTGAGGTTGTCATCTTAACAGCTTGGCAGTAACAGCAACACCAAAGAAAAACACGACATTTCAACATTTACACTTCCATTATCACAACCAGACTTCAGAACCAGTTAGAGGTACTGCTAGTATTAATTCGCAACTATCATCGATCCTTAAGATCACACAGTTGAAATATACCCCCGAACTGAATCTTTGGAACGTTCCAATTGACGTCTTGCACGTTCAAAGAAACCTTTTTGAGACACGCCATCGTTGTTGTGCCGCTGATAGCCGCTGCCTAGTGTTAGCCGCTAGGCCGACGCCGCACGGCCTACGGAGACTGCACCGCCCGGCGTCGGGTTTTGTCTCAATACCAAGAGCGCGC